AGTCTAATCATAATCATCTTATAATGCTATTGCTTGTTCTTTTATGACCAAGGGTGTAAACAAGCTAAGTTGATATTAGGGGTGTCAACTGGACTGGATTTGGTCCAATCTGATCCGATCCAATATGAGCCCATTACAAATGGACCAAGTCCAATCCAATCCAATTAATACCATCCAAATTGATTTGGATTTGGACGGGATCCAACTGAAAACCGGTCCATTGACGCCCTTGGCTAAGATAAGCCTAGCTTTGCCCAACTCAGCTATAGAGGTGTAAACCGGGTCGTGCCGCTCGTGGCCCAGCACGACCTGGCCCGACTTTGGACCGGCCCGGGACGGTACGGCACAACAGCCCACGAGCTATGCCAAGCCCGGCACGATGGTCCATGTCGTGTTGGGCCTGGGGTTTGAAGTCGATAGACCGGCATAGCATGACACAACCAAGCGGGTCGTACTGCCCGTGGCCCGACCCGGCATGGCCCAACACAACCCATATATACTATTTATATATATATACATAATATTTATATATTTTATATATTTATATATTTATATATTATATAATAATATATAGTATATAATATATTAATAAAATAAACAATTGTTTTCAATTTTATTATACTAATTTATTTAATTATTGTATATATAAACAATTGTATACATCAAAATTCATATAAAATTAAAATTTTAAGTTTTTTCAATTTTTTTAAATAAATAGGCAAAAATAGCTTTGTCCCGATGCATAACCCGACTTGGGCCAAAGCTTGGCCCACGGGTCAGCCCGGCCCACTTTACACCTCTACTCAGCTAGGGCTTGTGAACTAATAAAAAAATATTATAACAATATAATACATATATCTAATCATATTATGCCAATATTAATTAAAAATGACCATTGGCCTGAGCTATCTAGGGTCTTAGGAAAGGTAAATTGGATTAAGGCATTTTATTGGACACAAAAGTGACCGCCCTTATTATTCAAAATTTTACCATTACACTAAATAATGGCCCCTATGCCATATATTCATGGCATATAAAAGCTATTCGAGTTTAAACAAAATTGACCCTTAGCCAAACAGGCTATAATTCAGACTCAGCCAAACTACTGGAATTTAGATTATTTTTAGAATCCAACAATTAAAAATAGGTGCGTTATACAAACCCCAAAATAAGCTTTTGCTGATTTTTGGGCCCTCACAAACAGTAGTAGCAGATTTTAATTGTTCATGTGTTTTCCATTGGAACATTAGGTCTTGAATTTGATTTCTGATATTTTTGTCAAGTACTACGGCACACTGTTCTCGCTTAATTTCGCATCATGTGATGATTCTTATTGGTTTACTGAACAGGCTGGAATAGCAGACCAGATAGCAGAGCCCCATAAAGTTGGGACATGGGTTAATGTAATGGTGATGGTGATTGGTTGAGTTTGGATACATGGGTTAATGTAATGGTGATGGTGATTGAATTGGACATGGTTAAATCCATATCTGGTTCAATAATTAATTGGTTACAGATTTCAAAATCCAAATCCAATCCATATCTGGTATTAATCGGATCAAAACCTAGGTGGGGTGTCAAAGTTTATAGAGAGTAAATGGGGAATTAAAATTGTTATTTTTGGGTGCTAAAACTCTTGGAGCTTTAAGAAGAGCCCGAATTGCTGCCGGCACGGCCATGTGTACATAGGTAGGGTAGCTACATAAACTAATTACAAGTGAACATACCGGTGTTCTATACATACATGTTCCCTCATGATTGATGCGAGCAGTAGATCCCAAGTGTTTTAGATTTATTATCAATAAATGCCGTTATGAAATCTTACAACTACACATTAGGAACATCTCTTATACTTTATATTATAATTCATGAAGAAATATTTTCTATGTATGTATTATGACCCAGGATATGACCCACATTTTGTGATCAGCAGATCTGAACTCGCATCCTATATGGACATGGTTGTATGAATTGTCCATGACTATTTGGGTCGTGTTGTCAGACATGGATAAGATCAACAGACAAACCAGTGATCCAGAGAGCTTTCTGCTGGGTCCCCTCTTTTATGATTTCTGTGGGCTGAACAGTTAAATTGCTGGTTGAACCAGCAGTAAAAGGTCCCAATGAGCTTTCCCATTGCATGCATGTCTGGGTCTGACAACAATGCTTTGGATTACTAGGATTATAAAAATAATTCTAGTTTGGTGATATGGCTTGTCTCACAGATAACCATCCAATACTTAACCAAGTAGGAGGATAAGAATTTTTGAACTTTTAATAGGTCCTCTTCTTGTGTTGTGTGAATCTTCTTTTTCTTTCCTAATTGTTGTTTTGAATTAAAGACTTGTAAATTGAAGTTTTTTTTTTTATTGGTGAGGATCATGTACCAATACCAATTTATTATTATTATTGCTTGATAAATTTATAATCCTAAATTCATCATCATCATTATCATTTAAGCCGTATCCTAAATGAATCCTATTTCATCAGGACCCTATGAGCTAGAAACAAAGTGGGCTAGGCAACCCATTAAGAATGTTCCGTACACATAAGGTGTGGGTCTCCCATGGGTACGAAACATTGATGTATTCACTCTTGATAGGTTATCTAGCCCACTTTGTTTCTAGCCTGTCGGGACTATGTTTCTCCATTCTTTCAGTGCCACATCCATCGTTAGGTGTTTTAAGTCCCTTTCAATCTACCTCTAGCTCTTCTAGTCTCTTCAACATCATTAATAATAGGTGCTTTTCAGTCCTTTTCAATCTACCTTTAGTTCTTTCAGTCTCTTCAACTTATAACAAATCATTAAATTCATTGTATTTAATGCAACTATTATAAAATACTCTGCATCAAAATTTACACCCCCTTGCAAATCCAAAGGCTCAGTTTAGAAGGAGTAGAAACACAAATATGTATAATACAAATACATACAAAATACATAATTTTGCACTCTACATATTTGTGTTTGTACTCCTTCCAAACTGAACCAATTAAAAGGAGTACAAATACAAATATATATAATGTAAATACATACATAATACAAGGTTTTTCACTCTAATATTTATATTTATACTCATTCCAAACTCAGCCAAATGAAAAAAAAAATGTGAAAATTGCAGTATAGATGTTCTCTTAGAGTAATATATGTATCAGTGTCGAATCGCATGCATGTGATCATCTGAACAGCACCAGCACCAACTCCCCCTATGTCCTCCATATGTCTAAACTATTATCATCAATTGGACTTTTGGACTATTAAGAAAACCAGGTTCATGATACCTACTAGCAAAAACTACAAACTTGATTCTCTGCAAATCAATTCACAATGTGGAGCGAATCTAGAGACTCACATGTCTCTAATCTTGGTTCTATATTTTAAGACTCAGCTATTATATAGAATTTAATTAATTAGTTAGATCAATATCCATCATCTTGTACATGACAAGTTCATGAGAGTGTCAAGCCTATCAAGGAAAAAGCTTAATTCAATGAATGGCGAACCTACCAATCACCAATTCACCATACTCCAGCTGCAAAATCTTCACACCCAAGTTTCTTTCTCAACATTACAATCATGAAAGCAATTTTTGCCCTAATAGCTGATTCAGGAAAGCATGTCTACATCCATATACTCAACTCAAAAACCTGACATTTCAAAGTGATTTGCTTTGCTATTAAAATTGGATCAACTGTTGCATCTGCTTCTTATCATGACAGTACTAATGAGTGGTATTTGATGCGTAAGAACTAAGATGAATCAAGAAGAATGATCTCCAACCCTATCAAACTTTGTGCTCGTTCCTGTACTTTGTGTCTCAATAACCTCTTAATTTCCTCTTTCAGTAAAAAACTTACATGGGATACTCAATCCAAACCCTGACCCAAAATCTTGAGATCTTTATATAATAAATTTGAGATGCTAATAATTGAACTGGGCTAACAAATATTCTTCATAAGAAAGTAATAAAATGGCCCCCCTGGAAGTTACAACCACTTTGTATAGCAATACTCTCCAATAATATATATATATATATATATATATATATATATATATATATATATTCTCCAGCAATTATGCAGTGTTGCATGCACTGAGAAAGCATCCTGTGTTGTCTATGATCCATTGGCTGAACATAAGTTACTTGATTTCATCCATCAGATCAGATTATGATCACCTTATCTATTTGGCATGGATAGACTCTATTTGTTTGATTATCTAAAAGGAATCTTCTTATCGAACGGTTTGTATCGATTATATAGGGTCGATTACATGAATCCTATTTCGATTTGTCATTTCGTTCTATTTCATGCCATATATAATTATGGGCCTTAAATCATTTCTTATTATTTAGATTTTGACAAGCAGTGAATTGAATGATTCATTCACTTATATGGTAATATTCTGGTTATATGGGATGGTTGTCCGGACTATGAGCAGAGTTGATATGATATTAAGCTACAAGTGCAATGTCTAATATATGAATGTGACTACACACCTAGCAGAGAAGATATGACAGTTCATCAGTGATAGCAAGGAGAAACTCTTATTCTAAGGCATCTAGAAGGAATAGTATAGGTAGGACCCATTTGTGTTTGTTCTCTTCTTTCTTTCTTCTTATTATAAAACCTAATCAGTGTTAGGTGAACCAGAAAGAAGAATATTTCTTGTAGAAAATCTCCTGTTCCCATGTCCTGCCATAGGTTTTGTCGTGTGCTTAGCTTGGCTCTACTGCATTGGCTAGACCCTTGCTCCATGCCCCCCCATGTGCTCCCCTAACTAAAATACCGCAACCCTCCAAGGGTCCACCCCTTTATTGAAAAAGATCTCTCTCTCTCTCTCCTCCACACAAAGATAAGATATGTATATAAGCTTAGACCCTTGTCAAAATAAACACATTCACCATTCTTCTACAGCCTGCAACTGAGCTCCCTAACATGGGATAAGTTTCTAATCCACTACTCTCTCTCTCTCTATCTATCTATCTATCTATCTCTCTGATATGGGAAACACCACATCTTGTGCTCCTACGAATGCTTCTAATGGAGCAGTGAAGGTTTTGTTCTGCGATGGGAGAATGGAAGTTTACACAAGGCCAATTAAAGCAGCTGAGCTCATGCTAGAGAATCCTTGCCAATTTGTCTGTGAATCAAGCGATCTCAAGGTGGGTCACCGAGTTCCTGGACTAGGGGCCGACGTAGAGCTCGAGCAGCGGCACCTCTATTTTCTTCTTCCTATCGAGATGCTCTATTCTGTGCTGACAGATGAGGAGATGGATTCTCTTTCATGCAGAGCTTCCAGAGCAACAAAACGTGGGTCTTCTAACAACATCGGGAAGATATTCCCTGATTTCTGCTTGTTCCCGTCAGAATTCAAGACAATGGACTCGCTAGACAGAAGTCCGGAGCCTATCGAGAGATACTCGACCCAGAGATCGTGGAAGCCATCATTGGATACCATAGATGAAACTCCGTGTACGCTGTGATTGGAGAAGATAGAGTACAAGGTTCAGATGATGGTCTCCTCAATTTTGATTTTTCTGTTATTTGTGAAGATTTTTGGTGTGATTTCATTTGTTGTTGGGTAGATTCTGATTCTAGGCGAGCACTGAAGAACTTCATCAAATGTAAGCCAAATGGGTTGGGGTTGGCATATCTAAGCCACTAAGCCCATAAAAAATTTGGGTTAGGGCTTGTGTAGAATCATAGATAGGCTTGTTAACTAAATGGAGTGGGGTCTGATTTGGGAGCCCATTTGCAGATATTATTTTTATTTTTTATATCAACAATTTCTACACAAGAGTCAGGACTGACTGATCTTCCCAAGTTGCCATACAGGCCATACTGATGACGGTTGTGGGCCTAATTCCTTCTGCCATCTTGTTTTAGTTTTCTTCCTGGGATATCTCTTAAGCTGTGTTTGGTTTGAAAATAAACAACTTTCTATTGCTCTTTTATTTTCTACCAAACCAAATATAGCCTTAGTATATATGTTATAGAATTGACAATGGTTTGATATTCCGCCCCTATTTAGATGTCTAATTAAGTTTATCAACTTCCTCTTCCTGTAGGAAGTTTCGGTGTTTTACATTTATTCTGAGCAGATGAGAATTTTGCAGTGACAGAATTTCATATTCCCATATTAAGCATTAAATCTACAATGGTGGAGTGAATCCTCTCTTTTGTATGCAATTCCGTTGTTGGGGACATCGACCAACCCTTGGAAGTATTGGAAATGGGATGTCCTTCATATTATGTTATAGCAACATCAAAGACAGGCCTGAAAATTTTGAGGGGTACTTTGTACATTCTTTATTGCACAAGTACAGCAATCATAGAGGACGTAGGCCCCACTTATAAGCTAACCACTATGGCAAAAATGGGTGGTTGCGAACAAGAGTTTTTCCATTTTTTGGTTCATCCATCTAATTTATTAATTATTTTTGTTGTTTTAATAGTTGCATTTAATTAGAATTAACTAAAACAAGTAATAATATAAATATAAGGTCATGTTTGGGAGTGTTTATGTTAAAAATAAGTATTTATTGAATAAGTTCTTAAAAACAAGTGTTTATTTGAAAAAGCACTTATTTATATTTGGCGCCCAGCTTTTTCAAATGCTTAATTTAAAAAATAAGGACTTATTTTATATTGGACGTTTGGAGGTCTTTTTCTCCAATAAGCACTTGTGACTCTTTTGTCCTTCATTTTCTTTCAAATTTTCAAAATATCCAATCAAAAGTGAATGAATAAAAGTACTTTGATAGAATTGCTTTCGTAAAAGTGCTTTCATAAAAGTATTTTGATAGAAGTGCTTTCATAAAAGTACTTTGGTAAAAGTGCTTTCATAAAAGTATTTCCATAAAATTGCTTTTATAAATGTACTTTCATAAAAGTGATTTTATAAAAATACTTTCGTAAAAGTGCTCTTACAAAAGTACTTTCATATAAGAGATTTCATGTAAAAGTACTTTTATAAAAGTGTTTTCATAAAAGTGCTTTCATAAAATTAACAATATTGTTGCTAAAAGTAACAAAATTGAAAGGATATAATTGGTATTCTAAAAATTTACTAAGGACAATTCTCGAAGAAAATTTTGAATAAGTGCTTATTGTATAAGCATTACAAAAAAGCTAGAAATTTGGGCTTAAAAAATAAGCACTTATTTTGGGCTTATTTCCCCAACACTAATAAATGTTTAATGGTGTAGTCCCAGCCCAAATAATCACTTATTTTTAAGCATTCCCAAACATGGCCTAAGTATATTCACATATAATATTAATAAAATAATCATTTAAAAATCATATAAAGTTTATTAATTTGAAAATAAAAAGTTCAACACTACCATGCTACATTCTTTTTGAGAAAGTAACACTACCAAGTTCAACACTACCATGCTACAGTTATCGAATTCAGCAAATCCTTGGAAATGAATCAAATGATGCTATGGATAAGCATCCCAATATCAAATCTCCAACTTATCCACTTGTACCAGATCCAAGCCTTTCCATTTCTCCGGTAATTCCATGTCCAGAATGAGTCATTTTTCTGTCCTGTTTATCAGGATTTCCCATGAGTAGCTGGATAACTTGTCTAAAGTGGTCTAAGCTGTTGGTGAATCACTAACAGCTCATTTAGGGACGTTCTTCTTGGTAGGTTCATTTTGTTTTTACTTGGTTTTAAAAAGGTAAACAAGTAAAAGTTGTATTGTCCTATTATTTAACAAAGACCGCATCTATCATTCTCTTTCTTTTTTAAGAAAATTTCCAATCAGTACCTTATACTTTGGCTTGAGTGATAATTTGATCTTCGAACTTTAAAATGCAACAATCCAGTACCTGTACTTTCAAAATGTGACAATATAGTACCCCAATTTTTAAAATATGACAATCTAGTACTTGTCGTTAATCAGTCCGTTAATTAGCAGTTAAGTGGCATTTGAAAAGTCAAAAATACCCTTCGAATGCCATCTAATTCTCTTTATCAACCATCCAAACGTTAACAAAAAACTGAACAGTCCCAAATCTCAGCCTCTTTTATTCAAAAAAGTTGGTGACTGTTTAGAAGAATCTAGAATTTGGGACTGTTCATTTTGTTGTCAATGTTTGAATGGTTAATAAAGAGAATTAGATGGCATTCTTAACACATTTCTGACTTTTCAAATGTCACTTAACAGCTAATTAATGGACTGGTTAACAACAGGTACTGTATTGTCACAATTTTGAAAGTTTGAATATTAAATTATCGCATTTTAAAGTTTGGGGACCAAATTGTCACTCGAGCCAAAGTACAGGGTACTGATCAGAAATTTTCCCTTTTCTTTTACTAAGATCCTCCTTTCAAAAGAAAACTTATTTATGCAAAACAAGGGAGAAATTAAAAAAAAAAAAACATAATTTTGTCCTATAAGATGCTATTGTCAGGTTTGCTACCTACAACACACTACAACTTGGAACGTCCATTGTACTTGTATGTTATCATGGAGAGATTACTCTTCTGAACTGGCATAATAATGAAAAGTTAGAAGTCACTTCTGAAATCAAAGTTAACAGAATCGGACCAAACAGAGAATCATTGTGCTAATTGGGTCATGGATTGAATGGTTGAACCATTTAACTCATCAAAATGAAAATATAAGATTGAAAGAAAAATACAATTTTTCCGATTGGCTTTGAGACAAGCTTATATGAACCACTTAACTCATCAAATGAAAATATAAAATTGAAAGAAAAATACAAAATTTCCGGTTGGCTTTGAGACAAGTTTATATGAACCGTTTAACTCATCAAAATGAAAATATAAAATTGAAAGAAAAATACAAATTTTTCGATTGGCTTTGAGACAAGCTTATATCAATCCTAACAGGATGAAGCAGGTAACATCCATTTGGGTTGAGTCCGGATCTCCTGCCCATAAGAATTCTACCCACGTTAATCGGAGCCACACATGGAGAAGATCTCATCCTCTGCATAGTATTATGTAGGGGAGATGTTCCCAATTCACGAGGGGTAGTGTATTGTGGGTATGCGTGGGCAGAGTTCTCGTGGGCACAGGTGATCTAGACTTGTTGTAGGATGCTTTGTTGATGATTTGGTCCCACTTTTAACCAATACCAAGTGCAGATTCCATCATGGAACTTGATCCTAAGTATCCATTACAACCAATATGATACCTTACCAACCAGCTAGTTGGCTCGGTACCAATTTCTGAATTGCGGACGCCACTCTAGTGGAGTCAAATAAGTTCAATTCAAGCAAATCCAAGTCTACAAGCCCGACCCATTAAAGGGTATCTAGATCATTGCCATGGGCTGTGTGGATCATGGTTTTTTAACCACTGTTGACCTGGATGGTCGGAGCGTTCGGCCTGGGAACCGTTTAAGCAACTGGTTCCATTTTACCCCAAACTTGGTCTCTGTCCAAAAACCATTGAATCGGTCAATGACCTGTTGACCCAGGAGGTCGAACTATCGATCCATTCAACGGTTTTTGGCGGTTTTTTATTTTAATTATTTTTTATTTTTTTAATTTTTGTTGTCAGAACAGACCATCCGTTCGAACCAAACAGTCAAACCATCAACCGGAAACCGGTGGCCAGAACAGTTCCATTTCCATGTCGTTTTTTAAAACCATGGTGTGGATACATAACTGTAGCATCTCGTAAGACTCAACACCCATTTGGCAGGGCTTTAACACAACGGCTTATGGCATTGCAAGGTGTGCCCTATACAAAAATTCATAAAGCCATGAGCTGTAAAGTTAACTTTTTGGTGAAGCTATTTTCAATTGCTTTGTGGAAGTGGCTTTGTCAATAGAGCTTAATCAATGTTGAAGCCCTCCCAAATGGGGTGTCAATCTATACTACGTTCAAAACTTGTCCTTTTAAGCATTGTAGAGGTATATGGCCGACCAGTAGATCTTGACATGTGGCATCGGCCGGAGGCGTCCTGGCCATCCTGTGGATCTGGACATGTGGCGTCAGTCGGACGCATCCTGACCACCCATCACCAACCACTGCCAACCGCTGCCACCTACTCCCATTTACTCATAGTCAACTCCCACTATAAAAAGGGGCTCCCACATTGAGGTAAACACTCTCTAGAACTCAAGCTCTAAGTCTTCTCTCTTACTTAGTCTGACCCCTCGCAGCCCTTTGTTAACTTGACCATCGGAGTCTTTGCCCCTAGGATAACTCTCGGGGCCTCTGACATCTTCTTTCTTTTTCTCAGCAGGTTGGACCCATCGGCCTCGGATTCTATAAATTATGTTATTGCCCTCAACTCCACATTTGGTAGCAACAAAGACCATATATCATATATGGTTACTTGCACACATGCATAGCATATGCTCTTAAATTAATCTAAGTAATTCATTCTAAAGATGTTTGAAAGAATTCTAAGTAATTCATGTTCCTAGTGAGATTTTTTATTGAAGGGCCACACTTATTTTGTTGAAAATTTTGAAAGTTAAATGAGGTGGCGTAAAC